AGTAGCTCTTCAAAACATTAGAAAAACACACTATCACATGTCAATAATCAAAGTCACATGGGAATGGCCCCAAACCGGAAATAAATAAATGGAATGAGTAAAGAGTCCAGAAATAAATTCTGACTGCATATTAAGTACATGATAAGTGATAAACACTAAGTAAAACCACCAGTGAGGAAAAAAAACAATGTTTCTGGAATAATAGGACCCAATATAAAGAAAAATTAATTTAGACCCAGACTTCATCATATTGATATATGTATATAGACATATCACTATACATTCCATTAGGATAGTTATTTTGTAACACCATGAAAAAAAAAGTAAAAAGGAATAAAGTATTTATCCCAGCCACAGACAGAGAATTTTTCCCACTACTGAAGCAAAAAGTAAAACTACAAACATTTTTTTAAATGCTCAGGCATAATTATTTTTAAATTTTCTATCTCCTTTTCTACAAAAGCCACAGAAAATGAGATAAAATGTAAAACAATAATATAGGAGGGAAACTTAACATCATAAATTTAACAGATAAAACTTATACCTAAGTACTTTGTATACATTAAGATGGCTATAATTTAAAAAAAAAAAAAAACAGAAAACAACTGTTGGCAAGGATATGGAAAAACTGGAACACTCATTCACTGCTAGAGGAAATGTAAAATGGTGCAGCTACCATGGAAAACAGTTTGGGGGTTCCTCAAAAAGTTACACAGAATTACCAGACATTTACCCCACCAACTCCACTCCTAGGTTTATAGACAAAAGAAATGAAAGCAGGGACTCAGATCGATGTACACCCACGTTCACAACAGCAATTCAATATTATTCAAAATAGTCGCAAGGTAGGCACAATCCATAGGGTCCACCAACAGACGAATGGATAAATAAAACGGGGTATACACATGCAGTGGAACATCATCCAGCCTCAAAAAGGAATGAAACTCTGAACACGCTACAACGCGGATGAATCTTGAAAACATGCTAAGTGAAATAAGCCAGAGACAAAGGACAAATTATTCCACTTATAAGAGGTACCTAGAATAAGCAAATTCTTAGATTAAATCATTAGCCAGTGGTTATTTTTTAAGGTTTTTTTTTTTTTTCCAGTAATCTCTACGCACAACATGGAGCTCAAACTCACGACCCCAAGATCAAGAATCTCTTGCCGTACTGACCGAGCCAGCCAGGAGCCAAGAATAAGCAAATTCTTAGAAACAGGAGAATAGAGGTTACCAAGGGCTGGCGCTGGAGGGCGGAGAGGAGGAAGTTATGGTTTAAAGGGTACAGAGTTTCAGTTTGAGAAGATGAGAAGGTTCTGCACATGCATCCTGGTGGTGATAGTTGCACAACATTGAGAATGTACTTAATGCCACTACATTACACACTTCATATGGTTTAATGGCTATGTATATTTTGCCACAATTAAAAAAAAAAAAATAAAACTTGTACCAGAATATATAAATCTCTCAATCTCAAAAAAAAAAAAAAAAAATCAAATGCTATGAAAAAAATCACACAAGAGGAAAGAAATAGTTGAGCGAGCAACTAATAAATGAAAACGTGCAATTAGGTTCAATAATGAAGTGGCGCTTAATAGCTGTTAGCAAAATGATAAACCAGTATTTATACAGTTTCAGTAAAAAAATAAACCTCATATACCACCTAATGGAAATTTTATACTACTGTGGAACGTATGATTGCTTCAATCCCTTCAGAAGGCTGGTAAAATACATTTGCTCTCATTTTTAAAAATTCATATCCTTTGACTCAAGAACTTTACGCAAGAAGAAACAAAACTGTGTGCAAAGACATTTGCATTAGGATTTTGTTTTATAATAAGGAAACACATAAGAATTGAAGAATGGTTAAAAGAATTCTGACATATTAACTGCGAAACAGTATGAGGTCACTAAAAAAGCAAACAAGACAACAGATACACAGAAGCGTGTATAAAAAACAATGGGATTTAAAAAAAAGCCTCATATCCATGCTACATAACTATAATTGTATGAAATTATTCATAAAGGCAAAAGCTAACTTTGAGAGTCTCAGGCACTCTACATGTTTTATATAATTTATTCCTTATAACAACTTTATGAGATATATACTCTTGTCCTCATTTTATTAATGAGAAAACTAAGACCCAGAGAATCACTGGGCCTTCACATACTGTACATGGCGGGGGTGGGGTGCTCCAGAATCTGACCCGCGACCAGTATGACTGCGGACTTTATGTGCATGGAAATCACATTTAAGAGAGGAGCAAGAGATGTAATTTTCTTGGATAAAGTTTTCAATAAAAAGTTAGAAAGTAAATCATGGCACACAGGTCTCAATGAAGTGCTATACTGTTCGTCTACTTCTCGACTGCACCACTTCTAAAACTTAGTAATGTTACATTTATACAGACAGGCTGCCATTCACTTTCATTTTATAAAAATGGATACTTTATAGTTGTGACAACATGAAAAAACCACCTGGAACTCAGCTCTGTCTTTGCCCTAAATGTCTTTTTCATGCCTAACTGCAGAGCATAGCCAAAAAGCCTTGCTAAATAAATCTTGTATGTCTGTGGAAATATTTCCTGGAGGCACGGCTACTACCACCATTTTGGAACTGGTCCTCACAGTTCCAAGAGCAGCGTGCTGAAAGATGAAGATGTCCTCATTCACATCCTCAAACTCCCTTCTTGTCTCACACTGCCAAAGTAGGGTTTCTGTCTGCTCCCCAAACGAAAGGTAAGATCTTTCTGTACCCCTTGGATAGACACTAAAAAGCCTACAAAGTCCAGGCTGGCTGGAGACAAAGGTGAACCGTCATCACGGCAGAAAGCAGAGATGAGACGGAGGCCAAGGCCTCGGTATTTTAACAGGCAGAAATCCCTAAAACGCAGCAACTGTCCTTCATAGATGGGTTCTGGGAACAGTCTGGGCACTCAGATACACCACTATAAAACATTCCCAATGCGCTTTGGGGTTAGAGACGTTTGGCTTTCTGAAGACATGGCTGGCACCTGCCTCGTCTGCTGACACATAATGTTCTTGCAGATAAGGACAATACGCAAAGGTACCTAAAAATAAACGTAGGGGAAACACAAATATGTTCCAGGACCCAATAAGAGTGACTCAAAGACCATCACCATATAAAGTCAATTTACCAATAGTTTTTATAAGAAAAGCACAGATGGCTGAAGGAAACCAGGATGGAGTAACATAGGCCCCTAAAAAACAAAGCGGTTTGGTAGCCTGGCCACGGCCTCCCGGAAACAAATGGTTCCAAAAATCCAGTTCCCCTCTCCATTTGTAAATGCTGGCCCTCCTCTACAAGTGACTTATTTTTCTTTCCCCGCCTTTTTTTTTTTTTTTAACGATTTTTATTTATTTATTTATTTGAGAGAGTGAGCGAGTGAGTGAGAGAGCATGAACGTGGAGAGGGAGAAGCAGACTTGGCTGCTGAGCAGGGAGCCTGACGCGGGGCTTGATCCCAGGCCTCTGGGATCATGACCTGGGCCAAAGGCAGACGCTTAACCGGATGAGCCACCCAGGAGCCGCATGACTTATTTTCCGAAGAGAAGCATGTTTACTGGTGCTCATGGAGCTGTATACGGTTTTGTATAGCGCGGTCCACAGCCGCCGCCTCGCCACCCCCTTCACCCAGACTGGAAGCCAGGGCCCCCATGGCCGCTACACCTGGATGTTGCAGCATGCGGATACGGTGGTTGGCACAGGGGCACCAGGCTCGCCGAGATGGCAGGCACTTGTACTCCTCATCTCCAGCTCATCCTCGTCCTCAAGGCTCAGGGGGAGCTAGCTAACTCAATTCCTTCAGGCAGGTCCTAAACTCCAGGGAGAATGTCCGCTCACCACCCACGCACGGAGCCCAGAAGGATGGGCCACTCCACCCTGCAGTCCATGGGGGGTAATGGTATAACGAAGCACCAGGAGCTATCAGAGGGGCTCTGTGGCCCTCATCCGGTGCTGCCAGAGAGCTGAAAGCCACTAGAAAGCAACTCTAGTTGATCTCTCCGATTCAGTAGGTTCGGCTCACGAAGGGCAGCACCAAGCCTAGGAATACTCTGTGCAGAAGGTATGCTGCTCTGGATCTCCCCTCCTTGGCGTCACCCCTCGGCTATCACAAGCACCTACAAAACCCATTCCATGTCACGTATGGATTCTCTGCCATCTACAGTTTACTGAAGTAAATATCCAAGTCCTTCCCCAACTGCTTCAAATTTAGACAAATTACCAAATGACTGGCAGTCACTAAAGATTTGACAATCTTCAAGACATTGAGAAAAACTAATTTTTTTTTTTTTTTTTTGCTTTTTAATTCGACACTGCCCTGATGAGACAGAAGGAAAGCATGAGAAAAACTATTTGTTCTGAAATCAGTCCTTCCCTTCCCACTTACAGAGAAGTAGAATCAAGGGCAGAAAAGTTCTCTGTGGATAAGGAAGGGCTACCTACCTATTCTCAAATGGGACAAATACTCTCACTGGAACAGCCATGGAATGAATGTGCTCCCCCCATCTCCCCACCCCGCGTGACACTCTGGCTTTGCCCCTAGTCAGCATCCCAACCAGTCCAACAGCGCTGCCATCTTCTCAAACCCAGCTCTGAGCAACAATACTTAGTCTTCTTTCTACCTAGTCTGATCATTGCCTTAAATTAAGGAAATAAAAAACGTGTCATATATAAATAAGATATCCCCTCTGCCCCCAATACTGATAAGAAATGAATTTTAAAAATCAATACTTTTTATTTTTGTGCAAAGGAATATTTTAGAAGAGTGCAGGCATATGGAGAATAACCTTGGCTGAAGAGAATCTGCCAGAGACAAAAGAAGATGGGCCGGTGGAAAGGCTGATGGATTTTAGCACTGGAGTCTTCTCCTGCCCACCCTACATTCTGACACAGCAGGCAGAGTCCCAACTCCACGTGAGCACAGGTTAGAAGCCGCTGCTTTAGTCCAGGCTGCTATTTTGTGCTGTCACTCACCTGTGCCATTGGCCAAGCCGCTGTGGGTTGGGTTCTTGATGGGCTGGCGGTGCCGGTTGCTAGTACCGGGGCTTTGCTCACCGGCTGCTGTGGTTGTTCTGGCTGAGCCACCTGAATGTCTGTGCGTCCTGGAAATTCAAAGTATAAAGCAGAAAGATATAAGTCACTGTGAAAAAGAAAGAAGTATGTCCCATCTAAGTCACCGTATTCCCTCTCTCGCTATTTATTGGAAGTAAGACTTTTAATAGCCCCTGTAGCCTTTGACTCAACAGAAGCTGGCTCCAAACAGAGACTCAGGTAAGCTTCCTCCTTGGTAATAGCCCAGAAGGCAACTTTGGGTAAACTTTTCCACTTGAAGTAAACAAATCCAGAGTGAATTGCCCCCACATCTGAAAAAACTGGCAAAATATCCTATGACCATCACATTATTTTTATTGGGCTCAAATGTAATAAATAAACAAGCATCACTGGACAGGCTACAGATGACATAATTCTCCCATTAGGTAAAAAGAGCCCAAATCGTATCCAAATCTATTTTCTCTATAGCTAGAAACATACTTCCCTTGGGAAAAGAAGTCAAGGGGCACTAGACAACTCCAGCCAATGCATATGTTGACATGTTTTATCTAGAAAAGATGACTCAATGGTCCATCCAAATCAATGAGGAACGAAGCATAACGGGATCTACATCGCAGAAAATGGTGGGATCTAGGAGCAGAGAATCTATCTGACAACTTCAGAGAACATGAGACAATAGGCAGTATGTGTTCTCACAGTCCTGTTGTCGCCTGACTTTGTTCACTCAGTGAAAATGTCTAAGCCTCCCTGCCCTTCAGTCCAGCTGTTTTGTCAAAGGAGATTATTCTACTGCATAGTCATTGTTTATTAGTCTTCAAGTGAGAATATTTAAAAGTGAGAGTATTTAAACATCATCCAGTAAAGAAAAGACCACCCCTGACTAAGCAAAGAAACAGAGGTCCACATACCCCATACCCTCCATAACGCATACCCCCATGGATAGAGGTCGCATACCAGGTACATGGGGCAGTGAGAATACGATCAACAATAAAAGGAATAACAATAACTATAGCAGTATATAATATGCACTGAGTCAGAACATTATGTAACAGATATCCATGGTGTGCTGTGCACTTTTTATTTTATCTCATCTAGCATGGTAACCCTAGAAGGAGTTTACTATTATTATACCTATTTTACAGATAAGAAAGAAGACAGAGAAAGAAAGCAATGGAGCAAGACTCAAATCCAGGCAGTCTAAGATCAAGAGCTCATGTTCTTTGGTTGGAGACTGGGGGAAGGGAGCCTGGACTTGAACTGAATCCCTCCCAGGCTATTCTTTCACTGGTCACTTGGCCAATGGTGAGATGAAGAGCTCAAATGGAAAGGTCCCCTGCTGGGCTGGAAGGCTCCATATCCACCAGAACACCTCTGCTGGTGAGACTCTCTCATCCAGAGTGTTGGAACAAGCCCACAACACAACAAACCTGGAGGTTCCTAGGGGAATAAGAAGTGCCCCCACCAACAAGTACCTCCTCCAGCACAAGAAATGGACTTTTTCCAACAAGATGGGCATAAGCCAAAATAGTTATAGTCATTATCTCTGACTGTTGTGAATATGAATTCCCTTAGCTTTTCCTTTTGTGCTTTTCTAGAGTTTTCTAGTTTTCTCCATTGAACTTGTATACTTTTGAGTAAGGAAAAAACACAATTTTTTAAGGAGGGAAAAAGTTTTTTCTTAGATCAAAACTGTAGGAAGGAAGGAACCTAACAAACCATGGAGTTCTTCATACCTAAAAACTGCATGGCAGTTAAAAATGGATAGAGAGGGCACAACTGAGCTATGGAAATAAAGATTTAATTTGGACTCTCTTTTTCCATCTTATTTTTCCCTGAGCTAATTTCATAAATCGAAAGCTGTCAACCACACCTCAGTCAAAAAAAAAAAAATATTTCAAAGTCCCCACTTCATGGGAAGAAATGTTAGTACTGAGCATTTTACCACAACTCCTCATCGAAAGCAGAATGAGTACAGATTAGTTCCAAAGGAAAAGACGGTCTTCCGCCACTGGTGAGTGAGTGAGTGAGTGAGTGAGTGAGTGAGTGAGTGTGTGTGTGTGTGTGTGTGTGTGTGTGTGTTGAGGGCAGAGAGCTTGACAGAGATAAAATTGGTTAATAAAAGGTTTATTTCAGCCCAGAACACCCTTAAAAGGACAAATAAGCCTCTCAGATTTGGTACTCAGAGCCCACAGCAGAGGGCTGTATCACTCAAGAAGCAGCAGGCTGTGTGGGCAGCACAGGAAAGGCGACATCAGTCCTGTCACACGCACTGGCTCCGACGAGCCCGTGATCACTTCCAGTCCGGGGCTCCCTGTCCCTCTGCAGAGCAGCTGGGCATGACAACAGGGTGGGCCCCATTAACTCTCCTGGCTCCTCCCTCCCTTCCCCGAAAGGGCATGTGGTCAGAGTTGAGAGAGAATACTCTCAGAAATGTTTAACCACTAATGATAGCAGCTTGCCCTGAATGATGGGCTGCAGCAGGGCTGGGATTAGCCTGTAACCAGGGGCAGCCGGGACCACTTGGCATGAATTGCTGCCTCCCTGGCCGCAGCCCACACCGCCACCTCCGCCCTCCCGCAACACACACACACACACACACACAGCCCCCATTCCCCAGATTCTTCCCTTGCCCTCAATCTGGAGTTTCCCCCTTTTTTCACCTTGAATTACCTTTAACATACGACTCTCAGAAAGAAGAAAGGCCTCAACAGTTGAGGAAAATCTCTTCAGCAGTTTCCTCTCTTGGAGGACTCACTCAGCCCTTACAAAATGGGATTGTGTCGTGATTAAAAGCTGGCCCAAATGCTGAAACCACACACCATGAGCCAAAATAGCATCAGGACAAAAGCGAGACGATGGGGTGGAGATGAGCTGGGCTCCACCTCAGGCAGCCTGGCTTGGGCTCTGCCAGTGACTTCAACTTTGGCCTGATCTTGTCACCATTTGGAGGGTGGAGATGGCAGCAGGGGTGGGAGGGTGAGTGGGTGATGCAGCCCTGAGACAGTCAGAAGAAGATGGAACAGCAAAACTCCACAACTGGTTTCAAGTTATCTAGTTACCGAGATTCAGCTCTCTTTACAACATGCCCTTCTCAGAATGCTGGCATGTCTTTACCTAAGTTCCTCTCTCAGAACCTGAGGCCTCCCTAAGAAATCCAGTCAAGGCCAGGGACCTGGAATTCTCTCTCCACATTCCCAGAAGCAGATCTGCTCCACTTGAAGTCCTCCAGATGGGGCTCTGGGCTGTCCCTTGGCATTCAAGCTCTGCCATTCAGAGAGTTGGCCTCAGTCCTCAGCTGTACCCTGAGAGCCACAGGCTTGGTTGCTTTGAGACATCTTGCATCACCCTTCATGAAGGCCACTGAATAGCATTTGATTATCTTCTGAGCACTAAGCCCTGTTCTAGCAACAAAACAGAAAGGGTCCTGGGGCTCCAGGTTGGTGAACACATGGAGATGCGGGCAGAGTGGCGTGCCTGGAGAGGGCATGGAAGCTCCCCACCTTTTCCCCATACCTCGCCCTATGTATCTCTCTTCCATCTGGCTGTTGATTCATATCCTTTAGTAAACTGGTAAACATTTAAAAACAAAAACAGAAAGAGCCCCTGATCTCAAAAAGTTTACATCTTAGTGGAAATGCGGTGATTTGTAATTTTGCATCACACTCTACAATGCTAACATGTGAGAGCCACTGGGCCAGTGAGTGAGACTGGCTGATAACTTGGCACTGTCATTCCAGTGCAACTTTGATGACCATCGTCACATACGCAATAATTTATGTGGAGTAGTTACACAAAACTTTGTTTCTTTGGTTTAAAAAGAGGCCAGCCCAGGGGCGCCTGGGTGGCTCAGTCGGTTAAGCGTCTGCCTTCGGCTCAGGTCATGATCCCAGGGTCCTGGGATCGAGCCCCGCAT